ATACTGGTATGTTTGCTCACAATCCAATATTTTAGCGACCAAACCAAGAAAGCATGAAGACTCTTCAAAACATTATAATATATCATCAATAAAAAGATTTGATTGTAATAGCATTGTCAAAATTATTATTAACCCATTAACTAATATTGTAAAATTAAAATTGAAACATAAATTAGTACATGCATCACCAAAAGATGTAATAGTACCCAAAAGTATCAAAGAATTTATTGCAGAAAACATTAACTTATTACTATGCAAAATCTATGCATAGTTTGTTAATAATAGCATGAATATACTAATTAGACAAAAGCAAATCTACTTTTGGTGGACAGAGCTAAGAAAAGACAGATATAAGCATCAAGGTGATTTATTTAAGTCAGCAGTTAGTGGCTTAATGAAAGGCACCATACAATAATCTTACAAGAAGTACAACCCGTTCGTGCCTTAGCCATTATAACAAAACTTTTTAGTTGTCTATTATAGGCAAACGTTAGTATTAAGGAATGTGGTATAGATGCGACCTGTAAGTAAAATATTTTATATACACGAATTTTATATTACAATTAGTTATATAATATTAGCATTATCAAATCTATAAAATTCATATAATATATAACTAAAATATTATAATTTTACTTGAATCTCATGATATTTAATTTTAGATAATACTAACAACTTTGGAATGGAGCTCTATTGTTTTCAGGCCAAGGTAAATGATATAGAATTTCTGTTAGCTTACATGTTTTTTGAAAATAATAGAAGATGTGGTAAAAAAATATGTACTACAGTTATTCAAGCCTTTCTTACAAAGCTGTGTGACAAGAGAATCGAGCCAAATTTTTACTAACCGATGAAGATTTTGATCAAATTAATGCTGCGTGATTTATATGACATGGTATAAAAATCTAACTATACAAATAGCATATTAAAAGAGCCATAATGTCTTGGTTAGCAAGTAATAATGAAACTAGAAGCTCTATGTATAATCTATTATTTGAATTCGGTACTCGGTTCCGTTCAAAGGTATAGTGCAATCACCTAAATTCTGCCCCAAAGAACACTGAGAAACAATTTAGAAGATAATAGAAAAATATCTTTATCAGCATCCATTAATCTTAATATATAATAGTCAATTGATTACTGAAACATTAATACAAGAGAATGCAATTCAGGAGTTATATACTTTCTGTAAAAAAAATTCATTGATTTCTCTCTGGAGCTATCTATGGTGTGAGTGGTACTGTGACCAATGATGGCCATTATAGGTGAGATCTGCTTGTGAGAATAAAATATCAGTTCTCAAGATGACCATGTTTGTAGAGGGGTACTAGAAAGTAATAAAGAGAGATTTTCACTATAAGTTTTTTTGACCACACCTTGACTTAGTGGTTTATATTATAATATCAAAAGTAGTAACTTACCAGGTACAAAAACTATAGCAAATAATAATTGGAAGAGAAAAACCTAAGTAGATAAAACAATTTAAGTAGAATAGAAGATACTATCAATATGTACCATTAATAAGGCATATGTAACAAATATAGATCAATGGGTACGTAGATGTCTATATTACCTGACTAACCGGTTTAATATTTGTAAGCATTTGGTGCAACAGAAAGGTACAGTTGCTAGCAAATTTTTTGACTGTATAAAAAGAAACCGACTACTATTTTTAACCAGCATGACCAAGTTCTTGTCGAAGTGCAATCAGAATCAATGATTTTGCATGACAATATCAATAATAATGATGATGCAGATAAGAATATTGAAAAGATTTATGAAGAGTTAATTACATTGACAACTAAGGCGTTAAGGCTTCTAGAAAAACAAAAGATAGCCGAAAATGTTCCATGGGCCAGAAGCATAAGAAAAAATTTTAATCCAATTAAAAAAATAGTTAATGAAGTGAAAGAATATAGAAATAGAAGAATATTACCTTTAACTTGAAAGAATCATATCCACAATACATGCTTTTTAAACAACTAATTTCTAGAATTATTTTAAATATGATTTGTAAGGTAGATTCGTCTTAGTCAATAAAATATCCTCATTATTTACTTATCTCATTCGATAATAAAATCTGGCTATTCAAGAATAAGCTTATATTTTATTTATAGTCTTCGTAAATTCTATTTTAAATATAAAAATTTAGTTTTTGTTTCAATAATTAAATAAATAAATAAAGTATCTACATTTTTTTACTTTTTCGAAGTAAGTTTATTTATATTCCTTAATTAAATGATTTAGCAAATTATATATGAAATCGCAAAAAAAATTAGCACAGTACAGTATATCAATATTAATTATAATATACAGAAATCTAAAATACTGGTACACAAAAGGGTCAAGATTTCTTATCAATGAATTGATTGATTGATTGGTTACATGATAGTAAATATTTTGTTGTGAAGATTTTGATTGGTAGATCAGTCACATGACAGTAAAAATTTTGTTGACGCATCTGGAAAAATTGTGTCCGTAGACTAGGGACTCGTAAAAATATTGATTTATATAGCGTTACTAGCAAAACCACATAGAATTCAAGAATCATGTGAAATGATGCATGATTAACTCCTGAATCGTTATGCAAAAGACTGTTATACTACAATGCTCCAGACTCACGATTTCTACATATCGATCCTATATAAGCAAACCTGTTCAAGCCAGACCTTCTGAATTAAAGCATTAATAACGATCCTATAAAAGCCAAGCTCTCATCAATAATTCTATTGAAGAAAGCGATATTTACTTGATTCGGCTAATAGCTATCAAAGTGATATTACCTTGTTGGGTAAAGTATGTGGCTGTGAACAAGAAAAGCACATGGTTGATAGAAGCATCAATGAATAAATTAGTGAAATTGACGGATAAAGAA